CCGACTATGAGGCAGGCACTGTTCAATGCGGATGTATAAGTGAGTGATACTGTAGTGGCTTCGATGTTGGCTCCTCCCAAAAGAGTCTCCGTATCCTGTCCTTGGAACCTGTGAGTGTAGCCTGACTTGGAAAAGGGCCCTTGCAGATGAAAGGAAGTGAAGGATCTTTATATGAAATCATCCTGGGTTCATTGGGTAGACCTTAAGTCCAACGACAAGCGTCTTTATAAAGGCCAAACATAGGAAAACATAGGGCAAAGGGAAGAAAGCCACATCAAGATGGAGGCAGAGATGAGAATGAGGTACCATAGCCAAGGAACACCTACAACTGGCAGACACTGGGAGAAACAAGAATCTGCAGAGGGAACACAGCTCTGCTGACACAGTAATTTTAAACTCTGATCTCCAGAAATGTGGGAGAATAAATTTTTGTTGTCTTAAACCACCAAGTTTGTGTTAATTTGTTATAGCAGCCCTAAGAAACAAATCCAGGTACCAGGCCAGTATGTAGTAGCCAAAAGACAATGAACAGAGCAGGAGAAGTTGAAAAACTTTATTTTATGATCAGAACACAATAGGTGCTGGCTACATAGATCACTAGTACAGCATTCGCTTGGTGTGCATGAGGCCTCAGGTGCAGCCCCAGCGTGTGACAAGGAAGCATGTCTGAATATGGGCTTCAACCTGCTATGGAAATGCTTCAGAACCAACTCTTTTGGGCTGGGGATGTAGCTCAGTGGTAGAGCACTTGACTAGCAAATGTAAAGCCCTGGGTTTAACGTATAGTACTGCGTAAAAAAATGACAAAGAGAAAGAGTAGGCAGAAAAATTTAATTGTATGTGTGATGTTTTAAAAATTCAGGTTAGATTAAGTCCAAGATATATCATTCCCAGAGACACAGTTTGAGAGCCTCCAAGTCCAGCTTCTGAAGTCCTGGGCTTTGAGGTTTGGAAAGTGATCTTAACTCACTGCTCTTCCAAGCAGAGCATCTCAAAAGGAGCAACCCTGGGAGAAGATCAGTTCCTCCACTGGCATGCCATGTGCAGTGCATGTGGAATACAGGACCCGAAAATGATGTGCCTGTCTTGGGGCCAGGGCTTGGGCCAGGCCACACCCACTGTGGGGCTCAGCCAGAGCTGTCTGTGTGGTCTCTGCTGAGCTGGGCTGGACAGAAGTCCACAGCAGGGGTTAAAACTCTCTTGAGAGAAACTTCCTCCTACAGCAGGATTCATACCACAAGGCCCACAAACTAGAGTTTCTCTGTGAAATGTTACCTCTGTGTGCAGCTTTCTGAGAGAGTTTGGGCTTTAATTATTTTTTTCTAAAGGCTTCATGGTTCTCATAAAGTTAAGAAACTATATGTTAAGAGTGTAGAACAAGCCCAAGTGGGCTTGACCCATTCATCGTAAAAGCTTCTGCTGTCAGAAAGAAGCTTCTAGTACAAAGAAGTGGCCTTTGACTGCCAAGGCTCCTCGAGCTCACTGTGGGGCAAAGCAAGCTCTAATGGAAAGAGAACATTGTAAGCAAATCAGAAAGCTTGGTACAGAGAGGTCCAAGCAGCCTTGCATAGGGGCCCCGCTGAGGGGTACTGCAGCAAAGAAAGCCATTTCACACTTACACACACACACACACACACACACACACACACACAGAGTTTGCAACACCTGCACCATGGAGCACCAGCCAGATGCTCCTGCAGACTCCTAGAAATATGATGGTGGAACTCCATCCAGGAGGTCAGGGTCCTGCTCCAACCAGGGAGGGGGTAAAGAAACCCCCAGAATTCAGGTTTCCATCTCACTGTGAACTCATTTCTACCCACAGACATGGATTAATTTGGTTGACACAGCATTGTAAAAGATCACTGAGTTTGTGCCCCAGATACGTTATACAAACATATTTTAATCACTCAGTTCACATCAAACGGGTACACATTTTAATAGTCCTATTTGTAGAATCTTCTAGATTTCTGCTAAAATTCTTATGGCCAAAGGGTAAGGGTCATACCCTAACATCCCCAAATGGTGAGTACGTGTTTCAGTCAGTGACAGAACACATACTGTCCCACAAAATTATAATGGTGACTGTCCCACACAATTATAATGGTGACTGTCCCACAAAATTATAACGGCCTTGAAGAATTCTTATCCCCAAGATAAATGTGGTGGTATGCACCTATAATCCCAGCACTCAGGAGACTGAGGAAGGAGGATCACCATGACTTTGAAACCAGCTGGGCTACACAGTGAGACCCTGTGGAAAAAAAAAAATCTTATCCCCTACAGAATTGTAGCCACTACAACACTGTAGTGCAACGCATTACTCACATGTGTGTGCTAATGTTGGTGTAAACATATTTACTGCACTCCCAGTGGGATAAAAGTATAGCACACATAATTATGTACAGAGCATACTTGATAATGATGATAAATGACCATGCTATTGATTCATGCAGTTACTGAACTATTCCATTTACAGGTTTTAGAGTGTGAACCTTCTACTTACATGGAGAAGTTTACTGTAAGCAGTGTGCCCTGTTACCACAGCAGCAGCCTCACACATCTTGTGTGTTCATTGTCTCTTGGTTGTGTCACAAGCCCACTGGAGTAATGAACACAGACATGAAGGTTTGTGCAAGCACACTCCAGGGTGCTCACACAGCAACCAACAGTGACTGTCTCGGAAAATGTGCCCCTGAGCTACTAAGAACTGATGTGTAACAGGATGAACTGGGCTGTGCGTGTGAAGAGCCCAGTTCTGCCAATCACAAGTGAACAGTGCAGACTTCTGGTCTACCTCTGAAGGCCGTGGTTGAGCACACTGACCTCTCACCCCACGGGGCAGGAGCTGTGGGTGTCTCTGTTCTCAGCTACAACAGTTCTCCCAGAGCCTTTTCACTGCAGGAAACAGGAAAACCCACTCCCTTCTTCAAACCCTTGCAAAGAAAAAAACGAAAGCAAATGCAAGGCTTTTGTTGTGCTTTGTTTATGCTCTCCTAGAGGCAGGTAAAAACTCGAATATAAACTTACATAGAATGGGTTTGTGATAAAATGGAAAAGGGTTTAGGAAGCTTTCATTTTATGATTTGTTTAAAAAACAAAAAAGCTCAAGCCTCAGCTCTAGTCTCTGTTGAGAAAAGAAGAAACAAATCCAGAAGAGGAAGTTGTTGGAAGCGGAGTGAACGGCCGTCTCCCGCAGGCCTGCTCAGCCATCACCATGGAGACTCCTGAAGGCTCCAGGAATGACTCACAGAATTCACTGGAGAAGCCTTTCAAATGGAAGCAGCACAAAGCACAAGACATGCTCAGTCTGTAGCCCTTGAAGAAGGCGCCTTTGACTCCTGACAGCCCTGGGTGGGGATGGCTGGCTGCAGAAAGCTCTGCCTCCGGGTCCTTGTTATTTGGGGGTATTTTGCTCCTGAGAGCAAGAATCAAACGATGCATTGCCTTTGATTGGGTTCTTCCACCCCTATTGGAGACATATTGACATCAAGCCCAGGGCTGTAAACACTTGAAAAGAGAGACTTGGGCCCTAGCATGGAGAGAAGGAGATTTTCAAAAGCGCTGGACTGGCCACAGGCCACAGTTTCCCATGGGCAGCTGAAACTAATTCCCCTGGCTGCCCCTCCCTCCGGCTGCATAACACTTGCTCAAGTTTGGTTCCTTTAGAACTCAAGAATGAAAGTCAAGTCTGAGAATGGCTTTGGATTTCATCTCCACCGCAGATAGCAAGGTCGAAAGTCAGAGAGCTCCGGAGGAAGCACAGAGAGAGCAGAGTTCTCCTCCCACAGTGTTAGGGCAGAATGCCTGAGAAACACACAGGCCGTGTGTGGCTTGGGGGCTGGAATACAATTCTGCCCCTGGAAGCCCACAGAGGGTAAACAGCATGACCAGTGGTCTCCTGGAGAAACCCCTTGCCGCACATCCGGGCACTGCTTTCCTGATAAGGACAGATACTACACTCAATCTTAGCCAAAAGGCTGAGAAGCGATGGACGCTGCTTCCTTAAGGCATCGCCAGGATCTCTTACGCGGATTCCACACAGATGCTAGAGTTCCTGGCTGCAGTGATACTGGCGGGCCATGTCACCACCCTGAGTGCTTGCTGCCCTCCTCATCCACAGGCTTGTGGCAGGTGCCAGAGGTGTGAGGCCAGTGCTAGCAGTCACACGCCAGGCAGAGCCAGGCCGGCCAGCCACAGTGGGAAACTACTCAGAGCAGGCCTTGTCTCAGACACAACAATAGCACTGGGTCTGAGACCGGAGGGAATTTGTTAGGGTTTTCTCTATGCTACTTTTCTAAAACAGGCACTCACCAGCATTCCCCAGTCCAAAAGGCATGGAAATTACCCGCTTTCTTCCCTCTGGAGGGAGAACCCACATGGAGATGTGTCCTCTTCCCTTCTAGGCCCTTCACATACACGCTGGCAGCTGCAGACCTGCCTAGCCACGAAAACAAATAAGAAATAAAAGTCTGAGCAAAAGCCGCAGTCGCTTCTAAACTATTTATTCTGATTTCTGGACAAGCGAGTTAATTGGATGGGCCCCTGTGACAGACATGCCATACTAAAATTCATAGCTTTCTGCCAAAACAACATATTGTGTGCTGCTATATTTTCCACTTTGGAGCCTGGAGCTGCTGTACTTCCTGAGCGGCAAAGGAACATTGAAGGCAGAGAAACCAAGGCAGCACCTCCCAGTCGCCTGGCCCCTGCCTCGCAGAACAGCCCCGGTTACTGTTGTTTTTTATTCTTCCTGGAGCTTTGCAGGGAAAGAAGGCCCAGGGAGTGAAAACACAGGTGCCTGTTTCCAGATATCCCCGGCTGCAGCCACCCTGCGGCCTGGAAAGGACTTGAGCAGTCCGCTGGCTCCTGCCAGGCGGCCCTGTCCAGGTCCTTCTCACTGCTCCGGGGGAGAGGAGGGGGAAGGGCTGGCCCACACTGCACGCAGCGTGGGACAAGGGCTAGGAAGAGCATGGGGCACAGGGTGCAGGCTCACCCACTTTCAACAGCCGGTCTGCAGCTTCCAGCATCGTGGGTGGGTCCCTTCCCTTTTCTGCAAAATTCAATAGCTGCCTCCTAGGACACAGTGGTGTTCCCCCTCCGGAATAGTATTCTCCTCATTTTCCAGGATTTTCACTTGTTCTCAGAAGCTCCCCATCTACTTTCCAGCCTCCGTCATCCACCATCCCTCTGCCCCCCAGGCCCTTGCTCTGGGGCCATCAGAATGAATGGAATTCAGTGCTGAGGTGCCAAAGCCTTGGGTGTCTTCCCAGTGCTTGGGGCTGCCCCACACTGTGTGCTGCGAGCACCAGACAGGGGGAGGGAGGGAGAGAGGGAGGGAGGGAGGCAGGGCCTTGGCTTCCCTCTGCAGTTCCCAGGTGGTTCAGTAGTCAGTCAGCAAGCAAATGCCAGGCCAACATGCTCTGGCACTGCACCCAGCAGAGGCCTTGCCCCACCCCACAGAGGACTTGCCCGACCTCACCCCACAAAGCCCCTGCACCAGCTCACTCCAGTAGGCACCCCTGAGCCCTGTAGTTTCCCAAGCCTCAGGGGTCCTTATTCCCTGTTCCCCAATGGCTTCAACAGCATGACCCCATAGCCTGCCTCTACACAGCCCCCAGGTGTAGCTAACACCGTCATCACTCTTCCTTGAAGGGTGTGGTTTGCTGGTCACAGCTTGTACCATGAGGCAGCTCCAACCCAGGGCCCTGGATTCAGATGCTGAGCACTTTTACCCCTCCTGGATCACTGAAGAAGCCAAACCGGCCAGGAAAGGTGGTGTCTGCCTCTGCTTGGGACATGCAGGGGTGCCGATTACCCAGAGGAGAGAGGTAGAAGGAAACGGACTTCCAAAGTGAGGGAACTGAGGAATGGAACCTGTACTAAAGGGAAGGACTTTTTTACAAAAGAAATTGCCTCAGCAGAAGTTCCTGTTTGGGAAAACACATTTGCTCCAAGAAAACAAAATGTCTTCACAGTTCTGTCCGAAACATCCACCATTTCTGGACAGATCTTGCTCCTGTCCTGTCCTGGTCCTCTGCTCGCTCTGCTTGAAATGTCCCTCCCCGCCCCTCCTGGTCCAGCTTCCTCCCTAAAAACCAGCTCAGATCCACCTTCTCCTGACTCCGTGTGCACCTCCACTGCTGCCGCATCACCCTCTCCCTGAAGATGCCGGCAGGTGTCTGCACTGCTTGGGCTGCTTTCATTTGAGCTGGGCTGGCTGGTATTCTCTCTTGAGAGAGTCTTTTGATTGTTGTATATGTTTCTGTTCCAGCTCATTCTTCCGGGGATAAACCTCTTGATGGTGGATTTCCATTTCTCCTTTGCTGTCCATGAAACTCCTTTCTTCAGGCCTCTCCTCTCCAGATGCACCACCTCGATTTTCTTCCCTGGCTTCTCCTCCTGCTGACTCTCTGGTTTAGGGTCCCCCTGAGCTCCGAGATACTCTCTGGACAACCTCGGGGACGCACGGTGGCCACAGCTGCTGGCAGGCTGAGACTGAGCCAAGAACCCAAAGCCATGTCTCCATTTCTGACAGGAGCTGTCAAAGTTCTGAGGTGACTTCAAGCCAGTGTGTCCTGGACTCAACCAATCAGGGTCTCCTGACTCTGCTCTTTTGTGGTATGATCTTCTTAATGAATGGCTGCATCAGTCACCCGGAAACTGGGATCACCCCCAGACTCCTCCCTTCTGATCCTCATCAATGAACCCAGCCCTTCCAGATTCCCAGCAGGTCCTGAGCTGAGCACTGACTTCGAGCCACAGTGCTATGAAGGAAGCACCACTTTAATACCTACCATAAAAATGGGCACACCAAGATTGAGAAAGGTCAAGAATATTACCCAAAGTCACACAAGGAGAAAGCACTGCTGTTCAGATTTGCGGATGAACTGACCTCAGGGGAGAGGCATATACAACCTCCTACACTCAGCCAGTACCTGTTCTCCCTAGTGGGGACCCCTCTAATTATATAAAAGAAAAAGCTGAGTTTTTTTTTTCTTTTTTTTGCAGTACCAGGAATCAAACTCACAACCTTACACTTGCCAGGCAGTTGCTTATGACACTGAGCTATAGCCCCAGCCTAAAAAGGCTGAGATTTAAAGCAGGTGAATGCTTCCCCAGGCTCACCAGGGCTAGGACTGTTCTGATTCCCTATAGCATAAGCTACCTTTGAGGGAACAGAGCTCCAGAACATTTATCAGAGCTTCCTAGTGTTAAACGCCAATTGAGTTTAAAATTTCCATGTGAGTTATGATTATTCCAATGATGATGGGCAGTTGTTCATATCCATTGATTCATTTCCATTGACTGGCAATAAAAAGAAGAGGTTTAAATTGCAATGCAAAAGATATGGTAGAAATTTTTTTTAAAAAACCTTCTAGAGCTGAAGAGGTGGTAAATTTAGCACTCCCCTATAAAGGATTTCCTTGCTAAGGGAGTTTTTAAATTCTCTCTCTCTCCCTCCCTCTCTCTATCCTCCCTTTTAAATGGCTCAGAATTCTGGTATAGCTAGAATGAGTTTGGAGGAATCCAACCTGAAGGTAGGCCCAGTGCAGGGTTATGAACAGATTGAATGCTTTGGCTTTGTAGACATATTTGACTTGGCACACCTAGTGTTTCCCATGAAAACTCTAACTTCTGGCTTATTATGAAAAAACAGTCGATGTGACAACCCAGGGCTGTCTGCCCCAGTTGGCAAAATCCTTGCTGGAGTAAGGTCAGTCTGCCTCCTTGGGCAGCCTTCATGTTCCACTTGGCCTCAGCCCCGCTGGCCAGCTTAGTTACTGATGTTACCTCCCTGGTCTCTCTAGATATATGGATTGGTGATCTCACCTGACCCTGAACAGGTCAACCTTTCAAGGATGCACCTTTCCACTTTGCCAAAATCATACCAAACATCATCCTACGGTATCAGAACACAGACTACAAACTGAGTCGCTTTTCTACCGAGGGGGCTGATCTCACATTCCTATTTTAGCTCTCCACATAAACATGGCAAAATGAAGCTCCCTTCTTGCTTACCTTCAGGGGAAATCAGCGTCATTCCCCAAGTGCTGAAATACAAACTTATTTCTTACAATTGCCAACTTTGCTACACCAAGGCCCATGTCGATTTCTACCTGAGGAAAACTATCTGTCGGCTGGAGCCTGACAGATACAACCCAATCCCATGTTCACTCTGGTGCTAATCACAATCATGTTTACAGGAAAATGTCCTCATCTGCTTCCGGCAGCTCCAGCCACTCAGCCATGTGAGAGCTGTCTTCAAAGTCAATTGCCTGTCATTTTGCTGATTTATGTTGAGCAACTGCAAGGACCCCTCGAGGTATTTGTAGCTAGCTTGATAATTCCCAGCTTGTAAAGTGGCACTGGGCAGAGTATTTCAGTTCAAATTCCCATCAAGACAGAATTTAAATCCCCAGCCCTGCTGCTCATGTTTGCAATGTGAGCACTTTAGATAAGGAGAAACCATCAAACCCTAAATGCTGGGAGAAATACAACCTGGATGTCTTCAAATGGAGCCTGAGCCCAAAGCTTCTTTCTCGCCTTAGATATGAAACTGATTCGAACATCTTTAAAATAGCGATCACATATGCTTTTGCCCAAGAAATATGCGAGACTAAGGCCGGGCGGGAGCTATTACATATGATTGGAGAAGCTGGGAAGAACATTTTCCTGACCACCTGCCTGGATTCCTACGTTTCAACCAGTAGAATCTAATTTCTTTGGAATTACTTCACTCTGAATGAGAAATTTTCTTTCTAAAATGAAAATATTACCGAAAAGAGTGATCTATTAAGTTGTTAACCCATTAACTTCTGGTTGAGCTTCGGGTGTAATGGGGTACAGCCTCCTTTCTATGCCAAGTCCCCCCCCAAGCCCTTCCCCACGTGCACCAAGGAGCCAGAACTTGCAGTTCTCCCAGACCCGGTTCTCATCTGCAGATGCTGAGCAGGTTGCTGCCAGCTGAGAATCACCAAAGCCCTGCAAGGATCCCTTCTGAGCATGTCCAGCAAGACCCAATCACCCAGAGATGAAAAGGACATTTTTTTAAGATTCTCCCATATAGCAGTTGGAAGTCACACAGATGATTTAAGGATTGCCTGCAATTTATGTTTGGTGTATTTCACTGGGTGTTTCACATCACAAATTTACATAATGTTGGAGCTGCGAGATTTAGGGGTCTAGCTCCACCTCCCCAGGTTAAAAAACAGAAAACAAAAACCAGTGTACAGTGATTTTCCCAGTCAGTGGAAACCAAGGATTCTCAACAACCCGGACATGTGGGACTGAGTCATTCTAACCGAGGCCGACTCCAAAAGAAGTTCCACTGACTCATCTTCCCGTCATCCTCGCCAGCTCTCACTTGGCGAAAGCATGCCTTCCTTCCATTTAGAAAAGAGACTACTCCGAGGCGCCATCTCAGTACAGGTCTTAGTTCTTTTCTTTGTATCCCAGGTGTATTTTTCCATGTTTCTGTTACCTGCCCTATTTGACCATCTCCAGACTGAATACCACTGCCTTTGTGGCACAGTGCATGTTTTTCCGCGAGGTGCATCACAATTCGGGGCCGGCTGTTGCCCCCCACGCCCTCTCTGTAGCTTGCTAGGCCTGAGGTTCCTTGCTCTGTTGCAGTGTGCTGTCATGACTCAGCGCATCGCTGGGTGGCAGTGATTCAGAGCACTCCCGAGCCCTGCGACGTGGCTTGGACTTCGCTGTGCTTGTTAGTCTTTTATGCACAAACAGGGCTGCGTGAGCACAGAGTTGCTGCCGTGTTCTGGAAAGGATGAGTATTAGATATTATGGGAAGAAGGGAGACAGGTCTGTGCACCGTCTGTGCCCTTTCAAGGCTTGCTCTGTCCACAAAGCTGACGCCTGCCACCGTTTTAACAAAGGAATCACAAATCCCAAGGCTGTTTGGGCGGTGTCCTTGGAACGAGCCATAACCCTCTGCCCTCCTCATTTGGATTTTTCAACCCACCATTGGGTCCTGATTCATCCAGAAAAACAACAGCCAAAGGGGAAAAAGGCAATCCCCGTGAGCATTATGTGTTTGCTGGGCAGGATAGTAATGGCCTAATCCTTCTAATGGCTTTGGTCACTGCAGGATATTAGCTATTAGCAGGGTCTGTTTTAACGGGGGTGGTGGGGGAAGGGAGGGCCATCTGCTGATTACAGCACGCACCAGGAATGGAAAGAAATTTAAAGAGACACAGCCCATCGATTTGGGCACAAATAATTAGTTTGTGGTTTAAAAGGTATATTCGGGGCT